ATTTTTTTATTTTTTTTTATTTTTTATATATTTTTTTTCTCCCCCGTCATTCTCTGAGACAAAAACCCACAATGCCCGGAGGCTCAGGGCCCATCATCCCAGCCAGCATCCAGGAGGAGGAGGAGGAGAAAAAAAAAAGGGTCGAGTCACTCTGAGAGGGAGGGAGGAGGGAAAGATGACAGGAAGAAGAAGGAGGAGGAAGAGGAGGAGGAGGAAGAGGAGGAGGAGATTACGCATCCGTTTGGTTTACATTGAATTAGACAAAAGACCGAATTGGCCGATATATATATAAAATTAAAAAAAAATCCCGACCAAATGGACCGACGGGGGACATTTTTTTTTTTCTCCGCCGCTTCATCCTCTCTCTATAGTCTGCGCTTTCTTCTTCTTCTTCTTCTTCTTCTACTCGAATCTCAGGCCGGCATGCATCTGCGGGCGGGTCTGCGCGACCAAAACACCAAACGCACGCGCGTTTGTAGCGCGTGTCAGTGAGGGAATGAGCTTTGCACTGTGCGCCGTCGGTCGGATTGGGCGTGTCTCCGCTGGACCGACGGCCTTTTGAAGGGTATAAAAGGGTCCACCTTTGACCTCTCCCACCTGCTCCGTACTCAGCAGACACTTGATTTGAGAGAATGAAAAAAAAAATATAGAGAAGGAGGAGGAGAAGGAGAAGAGAGAAGAGACAGACGCGTGGCTTTATTTAGTGGATTTAAAGGCTGAACCTGTGCTATTTTATCCTCACAAAATGTGTTGAAAGTGCGACTTAGAAATATATATATATCGTTAAGGGGAAGGTTTATAGTAAAAAAAAACAAAAGGTCTCAGTTACCTATTGTCCCTGTCCGTGCTCGTAGGCCTCAGAGGCTGAGTCACACACACACTCACACACACACCGGGACCTACACCGGCAAATGGCAGTGGAGCTCACTCTATCCCTGCATCCTCTCACGGCCCGCAGTGTCAGGCAAATAATAGCATTGAGTCATCTAACCTTTCAGGAGGAACGGAGGACAGACCCAGGGCCCGGGGCCCCTGTGCTCACGTCTAGACAAGGGTCAAGTGTCAGAAGCAGGAGGAGAAA